CAGGCGCTATCATTTGTTGACTTCTATAACCACAAAAGCCTTGGTTTCTTGCATGTTAACATCAGAAGCCTCCTCCCTAAGTTTGAGGTATTCACTGCGTTAGCACACTCCGCCAACCCTGATGTTCTAGCAGTGTCTGAATCCTGGCTTAGGAAGGCCACCAAAGATTTAGAAATGTCCATTCCCAACTACAACATTTTCCATCTAGATAGAACTGCCAAAGGGGGTGGAGTTGCAATCTACTGTAAAAATCCACCTTTCCAGAAATAAGTATCTCACTGTTGCCGCTTGCTACAGACCCCCCTCAGCCCCCAGCTGTGCCCTGGACAGCATATGTGAATTGATTGCCCCCCATCTATCCTCAGAGTTCGTATTGCTTGGTGACCTAAACTGGGATATGCTTAACACCCTGGCCATCCTACAATCTAAACTAGATGCCCCCAATCTCACACAAATTATCAAGGAACCTACCAGGTAAAACCCTAAATCCGTAAACATGGACACCCTCATAGATATCATCCTGACTAATTTACCCTCTAAATACATCTCAGCGATCACTGCCTCATTGCCTGTGTCCGTAATGGGTCCGCGGTCAAACGACCACCCCTCATCACTGTCAAACGCTCCCTAAAACACTTCAGCGAGCAGGCCTTTCTAATTGACCTGGCCCGGGTATCCTGGATGGATATTGACCTCATTCCGTCAGTAGAGGATGCCTGGTTGTTCTTTAAAAGTGCTTTCCTCTCCATCTTAAATAAGCATGCCCCATTCAAAAAATTCAGAACTAAGAACAGATATAGCCCCTGGTTCAACCCAGACTTGACTGCCCTTGACCAGCACAAAAACATCCTGTAGCGTACTGCATTAGCATCGAACAGCCCCCGCGAATATGCAACTTTTCAGGAAGTCAGGAACCAATATACACAATCAGTTAGGAAAGCAAAGGCTAGCTTTTTCAAACAGAAATTTGCATCCTGTAGCACTAACTCCAAAAGGTTTTGGGACACTGTAAAGTCCATGGAGAATAAGAGCACCTCCTCCCAGCTGCCCACTGCACTGAGGCTAGGAAACACTGTCACTACCGATAAATCTACGATAATCGAACATTTCAACAAGCATTTTGCTAAGGCTGGCCATGCTTTCCACCTGGCTACCCCTACCCCGGCCACCAGCTCTGCACCCTCCGCTGCAACTTGCCCATGCCCCGCCACCAATCCCGCCGCCGAAATTGTCGCAGCCCCTATTACCAGCCTGTTCAAATCTCTTTCGTATCGTCTGAGATCCCCAGAGATTGGAAAGCTGGCTTTCGACTCCGTCAATCACCGCATTCTTATTGGCAGACTAAATAGCCTTGGTTTCTCAAATGACTGACACACCTGGTTCACCAACTACTTCTCAGATAGAGTTAAATGTGTCAAATCAGAGGGCCTGTTGTCTGGACCTCTGGCAGTCTCTATGGGGGTGCCACAGGGTTCAATTCTCGGGCCGACTCTATTCTCTGTGTATATAAATGATGTCGCTCTTGCTGCTGGTGACTCTCAGATCCACCTCTACGCAGACGACACCATTTTGTATACATCTGGCCCTTCATTGGATACTGTGTTAACAACCCTCCAAACGAGCTTCAATGCCATACGGCACTCCTTCTGTAGCCTCCAACTGCTCTTAAACGCTAGTAAAACTAAATGCATGCTCTTCAATCGAACGCTGCTTGCACCTGCCCGCCCGACTAGAATCACTACTCTCGGCGGGTCTGACTTAGAATATGTGGACAACTACAAATACCTAGGTGTCTGGTTAGTCCGTAAACTCTCCTTCTAGACTCACATTAAGCATCTCCAATCCAAAGTTAGATCTAGAATTGGCTTCCTATTTCGCAACAAAGCCTCCTTCACTCATGCTGCCAAACATGCCCTCGTAAAACTGACTATCCTACCGATCCTTGACTTCGGCGATGTCATTTACAAAATAGCCTCTAACACTCTACTCAGCAAATTGGATGTATTCTATCACAGTGCCATCCGTTTTGTCACCAAAGCCCATATACTACCCACCATTGTGAGCTGTACGCTCTCGTTGGCTGGCCCTCACTACATATTCGTCGCCAAACCCACTGGCTCCAGGTCATCTATAAATCACTGCTAGGCAAATCCCTGCCTTATCTTAGCTCATTGGTCACCATAGCAACACCCACCCGTAGTATGCCCTCCAGCAGGTATATCTAACTGGTCATCCCCATAACCAACACCTCCTTTGGCCGCCATTCCTTCCAGTTCTCTGCTGCCAATGACTGGAACGAACTGCAAAAATCTCTGAAGCTGGAGACTCTTATCTCCTTCACTAACTTTAAGCATCAGTTGTCAGAACAGCTTACCGATCACTACACCTGTACACAGCCCATCTGAAATTAGCCCACCCAACTACCTCATCCCTATATTGTTATTTACTTTGCTCATTTGCACCCCAGTATCTCTATTTGCACATCATCTTCTGCACATCTATCATTCCAGTGTTAATACTAAATTGTAATTATTTTGCACTATGGCCTATTTATTGCCTTACCTCCACAACTTACTACATTTGCACACACTGTATATAGATTTTCTATTGTGTTATTGACTGTACGTTGTGGTTATCCCATATGTAACTCTGTGTTGTTGTTGTTTTTATCGCACTGCTTTGCTTTATCTTGGCCAGGTCGCAGTTGTAAATGAGAACTTGTTCTCAACTGGCTTACCTGGTTAAATAAAGGTTAAATAAAAAAATTAAAAAATATATGTAATTATACAGGGTGGTCTTACCTGTTAAACTGGAGATTTCATTAGACAGGGGGGTCTTACCTAATACACTGGAGATTTAATTAGACAGGGGATTGTAGAGCGCCGGGAATTTCACAGCAGGGACTTAGCTGGAAAGAAGGGAAAGATAGAAAGAAAAAGGGAAAGAAAGAGAGGGAGGCCAGGGAGAGGACCCTTTCCTTCTCCCTCCTTCCCCCTGCCTCTTCTTCCCGCTCAACCCCCTCCTTCCCCCTTCTCCACATTCCTCACTGCTGTATTTTCTTCATGTTTTCTTATACACTGCACACCCCAGAAAAGTGCCCCCTCCCTCCCTCCTTCTCTAACCCTTTTTTTCCATGCCTTTGAATTAACCAACTCCAGTTAATTGTGCTTCCTTCTCTTTCTCTGTGCTGCTTTCTAAAGACTAACCCTCTTTGGCAGGACTTGACAGGTACATTTCTGTTTTCTACTAAACCAACGTGTGTGTGTGTGTGTGTGTGTGTGTGTGTGTGTGTGTGTGTGTGTGTGTGTGTGTGTGTGGTGTCTTTTCAGGCATGTGTAATGGTTGATCTAGTGCATGTTTATCAAAGCCTCTCTCCTTTTGTTCTGTGGTTGCTCCAGTTATTCTCTTTGTGTACACAGACACACACCCACCCACACAAACCACACAAACAAATGCACACACAAACACACGCTCGCTCGCTCGCACGCACACACACACACACACACACACACACACACACACACTCATGTTGGCTATCATGTTGGCTATCATGCTTACCCTGTTGTTTTGCAGGTGTGTCTTTGCTCTAATGTCTGTGTTTGGTGTTCATTGTGGTTGTCACAGGTATATCTATGTGATGCTGCTAATGTTCCGCTGGTTATGTTGTTCAAAGCTTCTGCCAAAATGACCACAGAATGTTCGTGGTTGTGACTCTTTGCTACCTATCTTCTGTGGTGTTGGTGTATGATGGTTGATGAAATGTCGTGCCCATATTGCCCATATTGCCTGTCTTAACAGTAGACTGTGTTGGTTTGTTGCAGGTATTTCTTTGCTGTGCTGGCCATCCTGACCATTCTGGGGGTGCTGAATGGTTTGGTCCTTCTCCCTGTGTTGCTGTCTTACTTTGGCCCCTATCCAGAGGTCAGATGGTTTCTCCTGCAGAAATACTCACACCCAGAGACCTATAATGGCACGCACACACACATTTTTTACACACAAATATTTTTTACACACACATTTTTTACGCACATATTTTGGTGAATCAACGCTAACTTTTAATTGAATGTTCTAACACGAGCTCATCATAAAACATTTTTGCAGAATAGTTTGTGTAAAAAACAAAGGAATAAAAATAATTGGCTCATCTCCTCACGCCTCCCTCCTTACTCTGTCCCCCTCAGGTGACCCCTGTTGATGGCCGTATCCAGTTACCCACCCCGTCCCCAGAGCCCCCTCCTCACGTGGTCCGCTTCTCCGTCCACCCCTGCCACACCACCTCAGGGACGGGGACAGGTACAGGCTCTGACTCGTCAGACTCTGAGTACAGCTCCAACACCACGGTATCAGGCATCAGCCAGGAGCTGCAGCAGTACGACCTCCCCACCACTAGAGGCAGAGCTGGGAGAGCAGAGGAGGTGCGACTAGGAGCTGTCCCAAGAAGGACAGCTAGACAAGGAAACACCACGGCCTACTCTTTTTCTTCTGTAAGTGCTTCGGATAATGCCCACACACACACACACGTGACATAAGCTCACACTCTCTGTTTGAACATGTTGAACATGTGTACAAGTTGTTCTGATTTTCTGATCTCTCTCCTGTCAGTCGGTGCTGCCGGAGTCGGGTGCCCAACCCGGTGCATCCCGTCGCTTAAACAAGAGGGACCTACAGTCGCTGCCCCGAGCCCACCCGCGCATGGACGCTTTTGAAATTGCTACTGAGGCTGGAGGCCATTATGGCTCCGGGGGCCATTTTGTCTCGGGAGGCCACAGAGAACGCTCTGCAGGGCACAGAACCCGTCCATCCCACAACCCCCGGCACAATCGCCACCAACCTCCCCACCCTAACCCCGCCCCTACTTACTGCCAGCCAATCACCACGGTAACGGCCTCTGCGTCAGTTACCATCGCTGTCCACTCTGCCCCTCCCCCCACTCAAAGCCCCACCTCCTCTTACCCAGGACACACTGCAGCGGACAGTTACCACACAGCAGGTGGCGCAGAGCCCGAGCCTGCCTTCCAGGACCCCCATGTGCCACTGGAGGTCCATACGGGTTGCAGAGGAACCAAGATGGACGCCAAGGTGGAGGCCATGGAGCTCCAGGATGTGGAGTGTGAGGCAGCTGAGAGCGACTGTGGTAGGAGGGCAAGCTGAGGTGAGCCCCAATGGAGTTTGTAGCTTCTCAGGACAATGAAGTAATTCACATGTTGGTATTACATCCACAAAGGATTTGCAATGAATGTTCCTTTTCCTTCTTCCGTTTTATTACTTGCAAAAATGTCCCTATTCAGTCCTTCAAAACCCTTTTTACTGCAAACTGAACATAATATATTGAGCGTTGTGCCTTTAGAGAGTGAGATGTGTTTGTTGTCATGACAGTTTTCTAACTGTGTGTTGTCTGTCTCTCTGTTGTTCCAGTGGAGGAGAGCAGAAGCACAACGGCCAAAGATGGACTCCCTCTCTCACTCAGTGGCCCGACACAGTGCAGCGAGACACATAACACAGTGGTGGCTAGTGCCATGGTGCTCATTTTTACTGTAACCCCGTGGATGTTTGTCTTAGATATCTCTATCCATATTTAAAAGATGTATACTTATGTAAAGATGAACAAAAAAGTAGCTATAATGTAGCTCCTTTTTTTAACAGACTGGGGACGTAATTTGCTATGGCGTGTGTGTGTTTTTGGTTTTACTGTCCTTGTCGGGACCAGAAGTCATCACAAGGACAGTAAAACAAGGAAAATGTGAGACATTTAGCTGGTCCCCACAAGGACAAAGGCTATTTTAAGCTTAGGGGTTAGGTTTAGGGTTAGGGTTACAATTGGGGTTATGGTTAGAATTAGGGTTAGGAGTTAGGGTTAAGTTAGGGGTTTGGGGTTAAGGTTAGGGTAAAGGTTAGGGTTAGGTTAAGGCTCAAGGTTAGGGGTCAGGGAAAATAGGATTTTGAATGGGAATCAATTGTTTGGTCCCCACAATGATAGTAAAACAAATGTGTGTGTGTGAGAAATCTCTGATTACTGTTGTTCACTCATCTGTGGATCTGTGCCATGAGGAAGCTTCATCTAGACAATACATTTCAGCATACATTGTTGCTGCTTAAGATATTTTGTAATAATGTATAATAACTTGTATAATAATTCTATGCAAATGTTTATTTTACGTTAGAAAGTGAGTGAGTGTGTAAACGTGATTGTGGGTTTGTGTGTGTGCGTGGGTGGGTGGGTGGGTAACTCATCGGATACATCTCTAAAAAGAAATAGACTAACAATCACGTCAAGTGAAACTACTCAATAACTACACAGGGCATCAATGTGTGTGTATATATGTGTGTGTGCAGGTGTGTATGTTTGTACGAGTATGTGTGTGTATGTTTGTGTATAAAGGTACTCTTTTTTTAAATAATGAATTTGCATATCACAAACCTGTGGTAGTTATGAAACAATTACTGTTGAACTCTGACTCACGCTATGCGTGCTATTTAAGACGAGCAAATATGTAGAAGATATAAAATATGTTTGTTGTGACTTGGCTGTCCATCGAACTCAATTACCCATCTCCCATTTCCTCTGGTGATGTCATAGCTCTCGGCAGCCATCTTATAGTAGAATGAGTGAGCGTAAAAGTATCACTCCCATAGTTAAAGTGGAACTGACAGTGTTTTAACTACTTTATAGATATGAAACAAACAGACAATCATAATATCAGTAAAAAATATAAAATTCCTAGTTTATGCTACAAAATATAAAAGGTTATATTTGACTCAACGTTCCATGACGTACACTAAGGCATTGTTGGCAGAATAGATGGATACAGTTCAATGCATGATTAATATAATTCACCAATACATTTCTTGGTAGTCCAAAAAATATTGCTATCAGGTTTGAAATCACAGCTGGCCTGTTACATTGTTTGCTGACTCCATTCAGGATGCACTGTTTCAGTTTCAATGACTCAATATTTTGGACAAAATCTGACGATTGTAACTAAGTCTGGGAATGTCAATACAATTAAACTAGCAAGGGCAATGATCACAAGTCAGTCATAATGTGGCTAATAGGCTAGCATATCTATTTATGTAGCAAGCTAAAAACACAGAGCCTTATGTTAGCTAGCTAGCTGCTAGGAGGATGTCATGTCATGCCATTGAAGGAGTGGGTGAGTGACTGTCATTTTTCCCTCATATCGTTTTTCGGTGGCTATAGCCAGGCTAGGGATGCAGGTGTCATTTGGTTAGCTAGTAAGAACTTGAACGACTGTTATCCAGTTAGCATATCTCTTGCATTCGCAAATTCTCTCTGGATATCTATTCTGATTTCAGAGCACTCTCGTCTGAGTGTGCCAGAGCGCAGAATAACTGATGAATTTACGAACACGCAACACCCACTGAATATGGAATATGACCGGTATCAGTAAACGTAGGGAAAAAAAGTAATAGTTAGTCACGAATGCTCTAGATAACATGTAAACAGCCTAATCAGCTCTGCTAAGGCAAGTAAAATGATCAGAGTGAGGTGTTCTCACATTTGTGTCTGGAAGTAGCAAGTTAGCCAACTTTAGCCAGTTAGCTTGGGTGATTGGTTGGGACAAGCATGCAGTGGCAGGCAAGCTGCAGAAGGATGAGTAGTCTACAATTCTCCATTGTTTATCAGTGCAATTTTGATGGCCAACTAGCTGAAAAAGTTTGAGATGGTTTATCTAATGTTCCTTCGTTAGATTTTAGCTCATCTTGCTCTGGCTAGCATTAGTTGTTGATCTCCCAAGTGGCGCAGCAGTCTAAGGCACTGCATCTCAGTGCTTGAGGTGTCAGTACAGACACCCTGATTCGATTCAAGGCTGTATCACAACTGGCCGTGATTGGGAGTCCCATAGGGCGGTGCACAATTGGCTCAGCGTTGGCCGGTGTACGCCATCATTTTAAATAAGAATTTGTTCTTAACTGACTTGCCTAGTTAAATTAAGGTTACATTTGTTGTTGATGTGCATAATTGAGGGAGAGAGAGCCTATCTATTCATGGTTGTTTGATCAATAGGACTGTAAAGTTCCCAAATGTAGGAGGACTCCCGTTGTGTTTACATATTTGCAGAAATCCATTTAGGTGTATTTTGTGGCTTTTGGCGAATGCATTCTAATGATCTAAAGTCGCGCTGTTGCAACTGCCTGTAAACACACAGTCCAGTTCAAAGTGAATGATGGCAGGCCCGTATGGAAAATGGTTTGTTTGTGTAAATGCCTACTGTAGCTCGGATTGGCTATAGCGCACCGGTCTGTGTAGACTCCGGTCTTGGACGAGACAGATGTTTTTATTAGGTCTATTAATTGTCAAAACGCATGGCCGCTTTCCCACTTTATATTGCTATAGAATTTTCACAAATGCCTTAGTATACGTAATTCCCAAACATTCTAAGAATTTATAAAAATGTTTTTAAAAGTGTAATATTCTTCCTGGGGGTGTATATGAACATATTTATATAAGATGTTGCCAAAATGCTGTCAATTCCACTTTAATGCATATTGCAATTGGTGGGCAAAATCTATGGTAGCAAGTCAAGGCCATTATGGAGGATATTGTTGTGAAATGTACAGCTTTGTTAGTCTCCTTTTTTTTGTCTTAAAAAAAGAAAAATATGAATGCGACTTCTGTTATTCTCACTGTAAATATACATTGTTGTCCTATCTCTAGTGATAAGCTACAGCTACGGTATTACCCTACTCAACATGGCACTTGACTGAATTACACGTTTAATTCACAAGAAACTCTTTCTCTCTCCACCCCTGTCTTTCTTCCTCTTTATCCAATAAGCTACCCCGTCCAGAGAGCTGAAGGGTTTAGCACCATCTGGTCTAACAATACTGTGTGTGTGTGTGTGTGTGTGTGTGTGTGTGTGTGTGTCCGTCCTCCTCTCTCTGCCCTCCTCAGAGACAGCAAAGACAACTGGGCACAATTTATCCCCAGCCGTCCCCACCCAACCTCACCTCGTAAAAATCCATAACATAACGCCATGACACTAATTGGAAGTTCCCCCTCAACTGCCAAATGGCACAGGCCAAAGCCTCAAGGGTCAGGGTTCACTAAGCCCTCCCGCCACCCACCTCCCCATCACGCCCAGTTTGTGTGTGTCAGTCACATCTTTCCAGCTCCCCCATACCCCCCCCCCCCCCCTCCACATACACACAGACTTCCTGTCCAACACATGTAGCTATGTGTCTCTTTTTGTGTGTCAGCTGCTTGAGTCAAATTCTGTTTCTTTTTTGGGTTTTTGTTTCATTTTCTTCTGATGTCACATTGGCAATAATGGAGAGAAATCATGGCTGGCAACTCTTTTCTTAATTTTTTACATGTTTTGTTTCTGTTTGGTTTTTCAACGTTGAATTTGCGATATTTATATTTTTGTATTAAAATATGTTTTTGTTTTGTTTACTTTCAATATTGGTCATAAATGCCAGTGGATAACAAATGCAGGGATTTTTATGTCTATTGAAAAACACTATTACAGTTGTTGTTTTGACATGAATGGAGTTCAATCTGTATAAAGTGCTTACTAATGTTAAGTAGGGGAAAAAAGAGTATATAACATTTACACTACAAGACTCACCATAGCTCTTAGAGGATTTTAAAAGGAAAAAAAAGAATCTATGGTTTTCTACAGACTGCCATTTGGTCTTGGTTGGCGAGGATATATGTTGTTTCAGTTACAAAGATAAATGTATGCCATATAATTTATTTATATGAAAATGTATTTTTGTAGTGTACATAGTTGTTGTCAAGTTATTTGACAGAAGTATATTTTTAAAGAGTTTATATGTAATGATACCATAACAGAGAAAATTCCTACGGTGCACACTTTCATTGCTAACTGGCTCTCTGACGACATTGACTGACTCGTCCCACTCAGTATTATCTATCATAGGGGAGAGAAAACTCAGCAAGCTGTTTCTATGGGTATGTGAAAGGCTAGCCATGAAAGTAGAAATTGTACTAGCTTTCTAAATATTAATGTTCAAACACTGATAGAATTCTAACAATTAAAAATATAACTTATTTGTCTCTTTTTTTATAACTTTAATAAATGGATCTTAAACAAATCGTTTGTTGTTGACTTTGGGTCGATGATTTCAGAAATGGTGTTGATATCCTGAAACACAGAACATCTTCT